CCCCCCCCTTATTATGCATCTTTATTCTTCTTGATATAAAAGATTTTTATTAAAAATAAAGAAAAAATGAGATCCTCCTTCCTCTTCATCCTCCTCCTAACTCCCCTCCTCTTAAGGAGGCTTATGCCTCCTTATGTTTGGGAGGCTTACGCCTCTTGTGTTCTGAACTATGCCTCACGCACGCCTCTAGGTAGTGGAGTGCCTCCGTGTTTTGAAACATTGCTATAATCTTTGTGACAAGTTGGGGATGATTGATATCTATGCCCCAACTTGAGGGGGAGTGGTGTAACCTTAGTTATGTGCCGCAAGGGAACTTTTGTCTTTTATTTTATTTTTATTTCTTATGTTGTCGCCCTAACATATAAATACAAAGTCTGGCGCCGCCAGCTACACTTTTTTATCTCAATCTTCTCTTTTCTCTTCCTTCTCTTCTCTCTTCTTCTTCTTCTTTTTCTTCTTCTTCTTCTTCTTCTTCCTTCTTCTTCTTCTTCTCTTCTTCACTCTCGATCGAAATCAGACTACTTTTCACATTACACCTTTGATGACCTATGGCGGAATTGGGGACTGATGGCAAAAAGCTCAACTGTCAAGGAGAAGCCTGTGATAGAGTGGGGCCCCCCTGAAGAAGGATTTATCAAGTTGAACTTTGATGGATGCAGCTTAGGCAATCCGGGTCCCTCTGGGATTGGGGGGGTGTTCAGAAATGCAGGTGTCACATTTTAGCTTTATTCTCAGGTCCCATTGGAGTAGGGAATGCTGTGAATACAGAACTCCTTGCACTCTTAGAAGGAGTGGAGCTTGCTAGAGAGTTGGGCTTTGGCAGATTACTAGTTGAAGGTGACTCTAAACTGGTAATCGGGTGGCTAAGGGAACCAGAGAAAGCGCCTTGGTCATTTAGGGATGTTTTGCGAAGAATTAAATGGCTAACCACAAGCATTGAAGTAAGGTTTCATTGGGAAGAAGATCAGACAATGAGGTCACTGATTGTTTAGCTAAGCAAGGGGTACACAAGAATCAGTTTTTCTGGGCACAGTTGTAATTTGGTTTTTACTCTTTGAGGCTGCAGATCGCGCTTCTGTGGTTGTAGTGTCCATCTTGTACCTTTCTTTTGCTTCTCTTTAATTTCAATAAAATTCATATCTTATAAAAAAAACCTTCTAATTGAAGGAGACTCTAAATTGGTGGCTGGCTGGATTCAGAATGGGGACAAGACTCCTTGGAAATATAGAAACATTATGAAGATAAAGGTGCCAAAAGTAATAGAAGTGTTGTCACAAAATGGGTTTATAGATCTGCTAATGGGTTGGCATATGCTTTGGCAAAACTAGGAGTGAATGGAGAAGATCTATTTTGGAGTGTAGGAGGAAGGCATTGATGTATAATGCTTCTGGCTTGACCATCTCAGAGATGTTGCCATTTATACATGACTTCTTAATTTAATAAAGTCTTGTTAATTAAAAAATGGCTAAAAGTGTATTTATTTGGTAAACCATTTGTAACAATTTCATAATACTTTCCTTAACTTAGTTTCAGGTTTCCTGTTTGTAAAATGGTTAGCCTATAATGTTAATAGGATTTTCATCATCATCCTTGCCTTATCCCAACTATATGAGGTTGGCTACATGAATCCTGTTTCACCAATCCATCTATTTAAAGCCATATCCACTGTTAAATTATTAGTGCCTAAATCATTTACTACTTCTACCCATGTCCTTTTTGGTCTACCCCTAGCTCTTCTAGCCCCTTTAACTTGTAATAAATCACTTCTAACTGGAGCTGTTGGGGGTCTTCTATGCATGTGACCAAACCATCGTAGTGTACTCTCTTTCTCTCTCTCATTTTATCACCTATTGCAGCTACTCTCCAGGTCCTACATATGACTTCATTCCTAATACTATCCTTTCTATTTTTCTACTCATCCATCTTAGCATTCACATTTCTGCCACACTCATTTTATGGACATGTTGTTTCTTGACTGTTAATAGGATCTTGCTAATTTATATTCTCATCTAAGGTTTTCATTAAAGCTGCCTTGCCTGTTTTTAGTCTTTTTATTTTATTTATTTATTTATTTGTTTTAATTTCTCGTTCTTCTCTACAGTATGGGGTGGAGATCCAGTTTATCCTACTGTGAATTACATTCAAGATCCAAATGAAGTGATTGATTACAGGGGTCCGGATTTCCATGAGCCAACACCCAACATGCTGTCTTATCTTATGGAGGTTAGTATCAATAAATGTTACTGTTATATTTAGTCCTGAAGACATCTTTTGCAATAATACTCTCATGGTTTAAGATGGTAAGTGGATAGGAGCTCCCAGATTGTTATCTATTTATTCCATTGTGGGTTGAATGGCCTGTGGAGATTAAGTTAATCAGGGAGCTCCCAAAGTATGCCAATTTGTTAAGTCATAGTCTAGCTAGGGGGAAGTTTGGTAAATTTTGCATAAGAAACCTGATTCTTTGGTTTGTTTGCAGAATTAGATGTATATTTCACAAAAGGGATACACACTTCACTAGAAGTAACATTCTCTAAAAATATTGATAAAAAAAAAAATTCTCTCAAATGTCATTTGACATCTGTGTGCTTAGTTCAGTTTTGCTGACCTGGTTCATGTACAATGTTAATGGCTGCTTGATTATGATAACACAACTGCATAGGCCCTTCAAAATCCATTCATAACTTTAATGCCAAACCCCCATGAGCTATAGTTCTATACTGTGCCTTAGCACTAGATTTGGCCATGACAAATTGTCTTTGGTTCCTCCATGACACACCCAATAAAGTACAAGTAGCTTGATGTTGAATGCCTATTATCCACTGAACTAGTTCAATCTGCATTGGTGAATGCTTCTAATTTTAGGTGACCATGGTTTGCATATAAGATTTTTTTTCTTTGGGTTTCCCTTCAAATAAGCAAGAATCTGTTCAATTGCTTTAAGATGTGCCACTCGTGGTTGATGCATATACTTCCAACATATAATACATCTGGACAAGTGATGCATGAGTAATAACCTCATAACTAATCTTTAATATTGATCCTTGTCCTCTAACAGATGTCCTTGATCTACACTTATCCATGATTGGTATCAATGGGAGTGGCAATTGGTTTGACACCCCCAAAAATGACTGAGCTCTTTGAGGAGCTCAGCCTCTGGAAATTAGGGTTACAAGCCAAAGGAGAGGAGCCACACACGCCTCAGCTCAGGCGCACACCTTTTGAAAATTTGACGCTTTTTTGCTTTTTTTTTTTTTGAGTCTAGCGGCTGGGACAGGGGCTCTGCCCCCAGATCCCCTGTGCCACGCCCCTTGCCTCGAGGGGCATGGCACAAAGGCAGCTCGTAGAATCAGGAATGTAATATGTCACACTCACATTAGCTACTTGAAGTAATGTAATTGAGAAAAAAAGAGATTGTGGGTTTTATATGCTTGAAAATGTTTTATATGTTTGATTTTATTTTTAAATTTTTATTTGAATATGCTTTACATGTTATGTTTATGTATTTTTATTTTAGATAATAGGTTTTTTAAAACATTTATTTTAAAATTTAAGTTCATGTTTTTATTAATATTATGTTTAACAATTTTTTTTTAATTTTTTTGAATTTGTTTTTGATTTTTTAGCATTTTTTTAATTTTTGCGCCTTGCTTAAAAAGGCGCATGGCTCGTCTTGTGCCTTGCGCCTCAGGTGCAAATTGTCCCCTATGCCTTTTTTGTGCCTTGCGCTTTTAAAACATTGGTCCGGTGTTTTTTATCATACTGTAGATTCATCTGCTGTTGGGCCTGTGTAATAGGTGGGCCTTAAGTGACTTTAGTACCTCATCTCTAGCATATAGCATTTGATCAACTTCTGCTACCACAGCTGTATCCCTCTCATAGGGTAAAATAGATGGGGGATCTCGGCCATATAGAATTTTGAAGGGTGTGGTTTCTGATCATCATTTTTTCTCAAATTTGTGGCCATGTTTCTAGCCAAATGGCTGGTGCCACCTTTGCTACTATTTCTAAAATCACTTTTGCATTACCGGTTCAAGGTGGCTCAGTTGGTGCGATCTCTGGCTGTTTATAGTGGAGAGTAAGGAAAAAAAATCCCTGTCACCAGGGTTTGGGGGGTTAAAGGGTTAAAAATATTGCTCTCTACTTGGGGCCAATAGATGTTGGAGATTCTTTGAGGGCAGAAATCATGGTTGTGATTGAAGGAATCAAAAAAGCGAAGGAGTTGAACATAAGAACATTGATCATAGAAGGGAATTCAAAGTTGGTAGTTAACTGGCTGCAAAAAGATGAGATTGGTTGGTGGAAATTTGTCAATGAAAGAAGGAAGTTTAAGTGTTTAACACAAGATATAGAGATCAAGATGCAGTGGGTTAAATGGAGTGTAAATGCTTTGGCAAAGCAAGGGGTGGGAAGGGATCAACTTTTCTGGCTGTTCTGTAATTTCTGTATTCTTCTGTCATCTTGGAGAGAGCTAAGAGAGTTTCTCTCCGAGGTGCTTATTTGTATCTTTTTCATTAATTAATGAAAATTTCTGGTTATAGATAAAAAAATCACTTCTGCACTTTTGGCAGACTGCTCTCATTCCCTTTCCCTCAATTTCTTCTATAGCAAAGATTTTCCAAACGTCATGAGTCCTCTTGGAGTGGCTTCATTAGCAACACTACCGCTGACACCAACATTTTTTTTTGATAAAACTTGCTGACACCAACATTAGTGCTATTGTATTGTGACTGGACATCAGCACATCGATAGGTGTGCAGTTCACAGTTGTGACTTTGATAAATGCTCTGATACCAACTTGAGTTATATTTGATTGAAGAAGAAAAAAGAGCCACCATTTATGTAGTTGAGGAGGTGATTGGATGGCTGAAAGGCTTCATGGATGGGACAACATTCTCCATTAAAAAACAAGACTGGAAGAGTGCGGTGGTGGCAGATGGGAAAAGGTTTGAAGTTGAGAAGGGAAAATGTGAAAGGTTGGTTTGTAGTGATCATGGAAATGTGTGGTGATAACAGAAAACAGATGCTATGTTTGCCAGAGGGTAGAAAGAGATTAGGGTGGAGAATGTTTGTAGATTTACTACAGGACTTTCTGTTGAATGTGGAACAAAGACAATTTCCAAAACAATGCAATGGTCCAGAGGTCTGACAAGCAGAGCTACCAATTCAAAGAAGGAAAAACCAAAAAAAGGAACACAAGAAGCTATAGTGTGTAGCAAAACAAAAAATCAGAAGATGCTATTAGATGTGGAGAAAGAAGTTTGGGAGATGAAAGTTATTATTACAAGAGCCAAAAAAATTACAGATTGGGGAAGGGTCTTGGAGGCAGTTGTGATGTGGACCCGATCATTACCCTTTGTCCGACAAAGTGGCTGATTCTGTCACTATGACCACCCACTCAGATGAATTCTCAAACTGCCCCAACATACCCAGGTTTTGATCCCCACTAAGGATCTCACTGATTGGCATATCAAAGGCAGCCTGATCCAGCACCTAGTG